TGCTCTTGTTTGTAAGAGCTTAATACTCAATGCCAGGCAATTTATTTTATCACCTAAGACAAAATAAATAAATAAATAAATAAATAATAGTAAAACCATGACAAGAATTCAAACAACTAACATATTTGCTACCCTTTTCTATTCCCACAATCAGCTGCCTGCAGTGGCTGCCTTATTCTGTCTCAGACTGAATCAGGAAAAAGACCATCTGTTTGGTGTCTATAACCTTACATATGCTATGGGATAGTAGAGGCTTTGATATGTATGCAGTGCAAGCTTTATTTTATTCACCTTGATTTGTTCTGATGTAGATGGGATACCTGGGACACCTTGCATATCCAACTGTGGCACTTAGCAGCGTTTCTTCCTTTGATGCAACTCAGGCATGATAAGGATTCTGCCATTATATGAGCAGCATGAAAGGGAGAATATATACCAGCTGCTGCTGCTTATGCTTTTCTCCTGCTCTATAGGATGCAGATTAAATGACAAAAAATAGAGACCTAAATCCAGTCATTAGGTCCCACTAGCATAAATCAACTGAATCAATGGGAATTTGGTCAGTCAACAATTATGTAAGTTCCACTGAATCAGTGAGTCTGCTTAGCTTCAAATAAAGTTGGATTTTGTTCAGGCTCGCATTTGTTCACTTCTAAGATCCCAGAAAATGGCAGCCTTTGGGATGGTTTGCTCATGTTCAGATGTACTCAATCCTTATATAGACTTTAGATTTCCAAGCTGCTTTCTGTTCAAAGAGGATGATTCTCTACACATGATGAAAACTGTTGGGTTATTATTTCCATTTTTAAATAGAAACGGATTTCTACTACAAGGAATCTCTGTACGTAGACTAATGTTGCTCCCCACTCCCCATTATGGTTGAAAATGCATTAGTCTTGTTGAGATTATTAGTTACTATCCCTATTCATAATACCAGTAGATCTACACATTATAATTTTGGAGAAACACTTGATTCCCTTGAAAACAAGAGACTGGCAGGCACAATGCCAGGTGATATCTGAACTAGTGTAGATCTCAGGCTCACATAGATGGCTTCATTCTTTTGACACTTTCAGGACCCTTTCACACTACACAATGATAGAAGTATGATTCCAATTTCACTGCTATGGTTCCAGCCTATGGAATCCTAGGATTTGTAGTTTCATCAGATATTTAGAATTTCCTGCAAGAGAAGTCCAGAATTTCACCAAAGTACAAATCCCATGACAGTTAAAATGGAATCAATGTGTAATGGGTAAAATTATCTATACGTGGTAGTATTACAGCCAGGAAAAGGCAAATACATCGATTTGCTGAAAAGTATAAAAATATGTAGGTTATGGGAGAAGGGGAGAATTTGTATCGTATATTAGCTGGTAACCCTCTTTTTCCAGCTCTGTTTTAGGAAACATATTGAAAGTATTTATCCTGCAATTATCCAAATCCAGAAGCAGCTGTTATGGAAGGAAAAGAAACATTTAAAGTCATTCAGAAAAACAGCAAAGTGTGTCTAATATTTATAGGAGGGCAGCTAGATTCCTATGATTTAGATCACAGATGGGAATTATGCAGCCTTCCATATGTTCCAGCATTCCTTGCCATTGACTATACTGGCTAGGGCTTTGAGGAGATGCAGTCCAATAACATCTGGAGAGCTGAATGATTCTCACCCCTAATGTAGTGCCATCCAGTTTAAAATGAAAAAAAAATGTGGATTTTTTAAAAATAGAAACAAGTGAAGAACAACAATTTCCTTTTTCAAAAGTGCTGAATGACCAGTGCAATTAATTATGCAGCAGGTTAAAAAAATGATGGTGTTGTAGAACTCATCATCATGGGGTGCTGCCAGTAGTATAACTCAGGGGTGAGGACCATATGGCCTTTCAGATGCTGGTGGAATGCCACTCCCATCAGCCTGAGCCACCATGCCCAATAGTGAGGAGAACTGCATTCCAGCATTATTGGAAGGGCACATTTTTAATAAATGGGGAGGAAATATAGATGAAACACCTGGGAAGTAAAAATAGTTAGCTTAGGTGGACACCCCTATGTGCCAATGTATCTCTATTTTAGAAAGACCTAGCAGAATCTTGGCATAATCCTGCTGAGACTATTCTTTATGGTTCTTCATAGTGTCTGAAAGTGGCAATGTATTCTCCTACCAAAACTGTAAGTCAGAAAACAGCAACAATGGCTGTTCAGATGATGATGAACTACAACTCCCACTGTTCCTCACCATTGGCTATTCTGGATAAATCACAGATTTAACAACATCTGGAGTACCCCAGTTGCCTTCCCCTGTTGTGGGTGGTGCTGTGCAGCGTTTGATCTGAATATGCAGCAGAAGATGTGATTGTGTGGGGTATATCTCTTCTGATTCCTAGTGGGGGATGCCTTTTTGGAATGCTTCTCCTCATAAATCATATACCTAAGAAGATACACCATGGCAAATGCAGTGCAATTGCAGTTTTCACACATTTGATTTTGTCTACCAACACTCTAAAGGGCCCATTTTACCATCTCAGGACTTTATCACCCCATTCTATGTTTAGCCCTAACATGAGTCCATATAAATGATAAATAGCTATACTTCCATTTTGAAGAATAAAGTCACATGCCCCTGTTGCCTAGATTTATATAAAAGTGTATGGGCTGGGGTAATGAAGATAGGCACTTGCATATCATGCTTCATGCTCCTAATAAGTTTCATGGGATATTTAGCAACATTATAAGCTATAATGTAGTGGTAAATTTTGAAGGGCGGGCACTAACTATGACAGTATCCATAGTGACAAATGTAATGGTAATTCCAAAATACCAGCAGCTGTTCTGTTCCATATCAACAAACCACTTGTAGCAGTTTTCATCCTCACTTTGAGCAGATCTTTTGTAAAGCTAATGGGTTACTGGTCATTCACGAAGTAACCCTGAAATAGTTTGCATGTGTGTCTGTCTATCTGTCTGTCTATCTACCTCACAGTGATATATTGTTGATGGGAAAATCCATCCCCCCCAACACCAGTACTGTGTGTTGCCACCAAAGAAGTAGGTCTGAGAAGGATGGCAGATAAGATCACCATCTCTGCTGAGTAAAAAGTCCCAGCAGACACTATATCTACTACATCACTGGATAGTGTCAGTGATAGACAACCACAACAATTGCATTAACACATAATTTGCAGCATTGAAGGAAAACTATAAAAACAGCCTAGAAATAGATGCAAAGACTACATCATCTGGTACTGTGTTTATAATGTAGGCTAACACACATCTCCTTTCTGCAGGCCTATCCAGTTGTGAGCTCCTTTAGGTGCTACTACATTAGAATTCATTTCGTGGTTATAAAGGGCTTCTTAAGGCAGCTGTGCTCAAAATAATTTAGGAATGTATAAATCATCACATTCCCTGCACTATAGTATAATTTGCCACACTGTATCTGTAAGATGTGCAATGCTTCTCTTCATTTGAAAGCAAACAAACAAATCCTTCTCTAAGCAAATCTTTCAGTAAAAATTCTGCAGCTGCCATAGGCTTAATTCCATTGGTATTAACCACTGCAGTCTTATGTATAGTCTAGGCTCCGTAAACTCTGTACACTTTTTTTTTTGTTCCATTTTCCATTGACTCCAATGGAAAAGTGTTGTGTAAACATAAAACTGCTGCTGAAATTTTGCTGGATTGTGGCCAAGGCTAAGAAGCAATAAATCAGAGTTGGGGTAACTTTGGCTCTAGAGATAATTTGGAATTCAACCCTGCAAATCCCTCACCATTCATTGGTCATGCTGGCTGAAGCTCCTAGAGGTTGTCATTGAAAACATCTGGTGGACCAAATGTCCTTATCCCCACCACTACAGTAAACCCACTGATTTGTAATTTAAGCTGATTGTATCTTGCCTGTAGTAGCAACAGGCAGGGAAGTAATAATCCCCCTTTCATTATGGAGGCTGGTATGTGAAACAAGTGTCTGAGTGAGTACTGCATTTGGATTAAGTTTTTAAACCAGGTGAGGATCCTAGTAGACTCTGACTGGGCATCTTACTGGACATGATGCCTACTCACACTCCACTACTTTGAGCAGGATGTGTATTTGAATTTCCTGTCCTGGTGCAACTTGTCCTGTAATAATATTCTTCTAAATCTGGATTAGATTTACATAGATTTCTCACTGTTTGTAGGATATCCCTTAAGGTAGTTATGCTCTAGCAACCTCTAACAACCTATAGCTTGAATGTTATGCTTTTCTCTGAAAGGATCCAGGTAATAGTATGTTCCTTTTTTGTGACAAGGAATTCAGGTTGTTATCCTCTTTAGTTTCCATTTTATTCTTAATAGTATTACAATATACCCTTTCAGTTTCTGGTTGAAGTGTCCTGCCTCATGCACTATTTTGCACTTATTTATTTATTGTTGAATTTCACTTTGCTGTTTACAGTCGAATCTTCAGTTTCACTAAGAAAGTTTGGCAGCCCACCTGCCAATTATCAGTCCTGTGCATAGCTGATGAATTTATTTTTGATAGTGGTTGTTTATAAGATTAGATGTACAAGTCTTTTTATTGACATAGGAGCCTTATTCTTTTTTTTTTATTATTTCTATGGGTAATCAACATGTGAAGGGAGAATGAAGAGAAGCACACCAGTTCCAACATGGTTGTTGCCATCTTGGCACTTGCCTTGAACTGAATTACTGAACTGGGGAACCTTCTTAGTTAGTGCAGGTTCCCTACACAATTATATAATCATGTACAATGTTGAATGAATAAAGAATGCTTCCCATTTCAGACATTATTCCTCCAGTTTGTGGAGGGCAATGAGGATGACTACTCATTTGGGAGATCCATATGAACTAGGTATTTCAAGGACTGCAGAACACTTTAAGATTTTCCAGGCTTCTCCTATTATTGTGTGCCTTCAAGGTATTTCTAATATATGACAACACTGACATGGGTTGTTTTGCAGCTGAGAGTGTGTGACTTGACTAAGGCCACCAGTGAGTTTTCGTGGCTAAGTAGGGAATTGAACCTTTATCTCCAGAGTCATAGCCCAGTGCTCAAACCACTGCACTACTTTGGCTATTATTAGATGGATAAGAAACAGCTGTTGCTGTACTCTCAGAAAAGAAAAGATTTGACAATACATGGTTTAGTTCCTTTAAAAAAATACATGAAAGGATCCAGGTAATAGTAAGAGCAACAAGAAGGGAGAAAGATAGGGTGCAGCGGCTTCTCTACACAGACTTATAAATCAATATTAATATTCATAGGTTGATGTAGTACTGAGGGTGTGTTCCATGTTCATTGCATGGAAATAGCCTCCAAAAAAAAAAAAGAAAAAAGAAAAAAAAGAAATCAAACAAAGATATTTGATGAGCACAGTTGACACAACATTGCAGGACTGAAGGCAGAGATAGCTGGTGGTGTCTATATATCAGTGTTCTGAGTTTTTGTTTAAAGGAGCTGTCCAGGGTGCTGAACCATCTACTTTAGAGAAAACAGCCTTCTATTTGAAGGGGTTCTAAAGGACAATCCTCTTTCAAAGGGCTGTTAACCCATCTAGTTCAGATGTAACCATAAAAAAAGGCAGTCCAATGGCCTTGAAAGTTCCCCATCAACAAGACAATGAGGACATGGACATCAGACAGGCACCCATCATTGCTTATCATTGCTTATCTAGTTCAGTCTTGTTCCCCACTATGCTGAGATGCAGGATATTTATATATGAATTACAACATTAATTTCAAAACATACATCCATACATAATCACAGAGAAAGTAGAATATGCACATTTTATGTCAATGATTATTGCCCTATTTTATCTTCTTAAACATTAATGATGTTATCCATTGAGGTAGATAAAATTAAGCTATGGTGATCTAGGAGGGGTTTATTAAATAGAACGTGAGCAGTTCAAAAACATGAAAATACAAGTAGATAAATAGGTACCACTTTGGTGGGAAGGTAAACAGCGTTCTGTGCAATCATGCTGGCCACATGATCCCAGAGCAGTCTCTGAAAATGCTGGCTCTTTGGCTTAGTAATGGAGATGAGCACCGCTCCCTATGGTCAGACAAAATGTAACAACCTTGTCAGCAGGGAATACCTTTACCTTTACTGAAGAGAGAAATGGAAGCTCTTTCAGAGTAAGAAAGCAGGCTGACAGAAGAAGAATGGAAGAAGGAGATTAAGGAAGATAAATGCTATGAACTTGAGAATGGAAGAATGAATAAGAAAGAGGGGAAGGATGGCACAGCTAAGAAAATAAATACTGAGCTGACCCCAATAGCACTTTAGGCTACAGGTGGAGTACTAGAAGTAGGAATACTCTCCCATAACAAAAATGTACTCCTGCTGGGAAGTGAGCTTATCAAGGATCACATCTTTCTTCAGGCAAGAATATTGAAATGTATTACTGCAGTATACTGCACTGAAACCACAAAGTGGGAAAGGATGCCATCTCAGGAGGGGATGCAATGTGTGAAATGTCAGGCTGTATTGTTCAGTCCTGCATTAGAACTTTATAAATAGATGGTCCTAGTATGAGTAATCACTTGAACTTTAATACGAATTATGAAAAGCCAATGTGAACAGGCTTAAGAAGGTGACTGAAATCATCTCTGAAAGGTAAGGGGGAAGAAAAGAACTGTGGTGAGATTCTCAACCAAGTGCACTAGAGAAATGTGGCAGGAGGAAATGTCTGTAGGTTCTAGGAGTCAAGGTAGTTGACCAGGTCATGGGCAAGGGATTTTAGTCTGAATAGTAGGGATGGTCACCTTTGGAGTGAGTCGCCCTCTGCTTGGGCTGTGGGATACTGGTGATTTTAGCAGCCAGTATAAAGATAGAACTATGGATCTTGGAAATACTTAAAATTACAAAACTTTCTATCTCATTGAATATGGGAAGATGTAAATGGTGAAGATTCAAAGATGACACATAGTTGTTTGTCTCAGAGATTGGAGAGATGAGACACTACCTTATTGATGGAGGTCTGGGAGGAGGGAAGATGTGGGAGAATTATAAACTATTGTGTGGATCATGTTCAATTTATGACATCAAATGAAATATGCAAAAGGACATTTTAGAAGCAGAGATGAAGGAGTGGGGGTACAGTGTACATGGACAGCAGAGAAGCAAAGTAGAGAATCAACATTATAACGACACCAGAAGAAATCAGAAGAGAGCCAAATCAATGGAATTGTCAATAATTATAAAAGTTAGGGACTGCAGATTGGTTTTATGGCACTCTCTAAAAATGAAGGGTGAGGAGAAGATACTCCCAGAGGAGGCAATAAGTGATCAGAATGATGGAAGGATAATAGTTGAGAAACTCAAAAAGAAGGAAGTAAGAAAGTTGGTATTGCTTCAAATGAATGCCAAGATGCCATCATGCCACTTAGCTAGAATAGCCTTTAACTTGTGCTTCCAAATATTTTGGACAACACTTCCCATCAGTCCTTGCCATAATGTGATCAGAGTGAAAGGAGTGGTAGGCCAGGATAACTAGAGCAGGGTGATCAGAGTGAAAGGAGTGGTAGGCCAGGATAACTAGAGCAGAGGTGTGCAAAGTGTGGTCCTCTACCCCTTCAGTGCTATCCCTTTCCTGCTCTGCTTCCCAGTGTTGTGTATGTGTGAATGTCCTCTCACAGAAGCCTCCAGAAGTGACAATTCAGTTTTTCAACATGGTCTAGAGGGTGGGATAGACTGGAGCATGCTTTGAAACAATTTGAAAGAAACATTAGGAAAGGAGAAGAGTGAAGATAATGGAGAGAGAGAAGCAAAGAGAAAGGAATCATTGGAAATTTTTCAGAGCTAATATAAATTGTATCTCTAAGCTTGAGGGATGAGTGAGTCATGTGCACGTTTTTTCAGATATGAATGCAACTGTGTTCTTTAGAGCTTACTCCTAGGAAAGTGTACATCTGATGGCAGCCTTTCCAAGGATATACCTTGGTGCCCTTCTGTTGGAGCTTTGAAGATGAAATCCAGTTGCACACTTTAAAATAATAGAATCATGAAAGAGTCTGCAAGAGCTATCTACTAGTCCAATATCCTGCCATATTGGAGTAGATCTAAAGCCCAGTTTGTTCTTAAGAGCTGTTATTTGTCTTAAAATTACAGCTTGTGAAGCAGGCAACCACCTGGCTGTTTGTGAAATTAACATGAGCTGGAATATGGATTTACATGAGTTAGGAGTTCGCCTTCTAAAAACAAATGTAATAAAGTGAGAGTGTGCGTAAGGGGGAAGAGAATGTTTCTTTGGCTCTTTCTCCCCCACTGTCTTGGGGAATGTCCCAGCCAATAGCTTTGTACGAGTCTATAGGCCAGCTCTGAACCTGGAAGCAATCATTCTCCTTGGTAGGAACAACATGTTTTATTTATCAGTCTTGCCAATCCCAGAGACTCCTGCAGCAAGCGAGATTTTCTATTATTAATAATCCAGAGAAGCAGTATTTTAAAATTTCATGATCTGCACTTTTTACACCACCTGACCTACAATATATTATATACTCCATGGTGGCAGAGTGGGAATTACATCAGGGTTACATGTCCTTTCTTTAAATGAATAATTTAGGAGCATTTGCAATGCCTAGTTATGTTAAATGTTATCATTCTGTCCTTGGTGATGATGGAAATGTTTAAGCATGAGGGCAAAATTGCCAATAAGTGATACTGGGTTACCCAAAATGAACAATTTTGAATCAATGCAAGGTAGGATCTCTTCATTTTTTAGACTAAAAATATATTTTTTTTTAAAAATCTAATATTATTGCATTGGAACAATGTGCAACATCTTTCCATTTTGTCCTGTTCTCCCCTGGTTACCTTTCCATTTACCTGAGTTTATTTCCATTAAATGTGATGGCTGAACTCCTGCGGTTTAGGAAAAGATGGAAGAAGTGACAACTAGTGGCTTCTATGTCAATGTCACTGGTTTGGGTTTTAGTCTTTAATTCAAAGGAGCTTTCTGATGGGCCATATCCTGCCCTCCAAATAGGTTCATCAGCATGGAAAGCTCAGGCCATATCTCCCAATATGAACCTGCCAGAGCAAGGGAAGCCTAACTCTCACTGATGCCACCACCACAGGTTTGCTTGGTGAGGACACAAGAGAGAGCCTTTTTGGTGGCTGCTCTCACCTTCTCAAACTCCCTTCCTTTGGAAGCTAGGCTGGCCCCCTCCCTGCTCTCCTGCATCGACAGGCAAATACTATTTTGTTTAAGCAAGCTTTTAAAATAAGTAATTGCTTGTAGGGAGGCTTTTTATAGGAGGGGAACGGACTTTATTTTTATTTTTTAATGAAAGTTTGTATGCTTTTTAATAATTTTATATCATTTTTAACATGTTATTTTAATGTGATGATTTTAATTGTGTTTAAAGATGCATTGTTTTTAGCTTCTTCTTTTGTAAACAACTTTGGGTCCTAATCATAGCAAAAATTGGCATATAAATAAATGAAATAAATAAATAATAAATAATTAATTTTAAAGTTTGGGCTAAAATGGAGTGTGGAATCACTGGCATGGAAGCTGCCAGCTACCACTGGCACCAGTAGCTCCTAAGGCTCACTTTTCAGAAGAGCATTCTGATCCCTCATTTGGTCCTGGCTCAAATTTAGTCTCTGGACCAGAGAAGAGCTCTTAACTCATGCCCTCTCAGCCAGTCCTAAATAAGCCAAGGAAATTATAGCTATATGCATCTGGCAGAGGTCTCACCAAAACCACCCAGCCAGGTAAAACTATCAAGTTGTAGACTGAAGAGACATACAAGCCACCCCAACCCTCAAAACCATAGCAACAAAATCCCACCTGCTAGGGAGCATCGGTCACAGAAACTGCTAGAAGGAGGAAGGCAACACCCTCCAGAGGACACACACTTGTCCTAAGGACTATCTGCAGCCATGTTGCAGTGGTCCAACTTAGTGCTATCTGTTTTGATTCTCCAAGACTTTGTGCAGTCTTTGTCTCTATTGCCTTGGGGGACTGGTAGGTTGAGGAATGATAGACAAATGGCATGAATAAACAAACAATTTATTTATTTATTTCCCAGAACTGCTAGCTGTGACTCTTTAACTGGAGGG